AGCGAAAGAAACAGTCACTGCTGTTCTCGTCTTTGAAATCCTGATGAGCGAGACTACAACGGGAATCGCAGCCCGCATTACGAGACATCGCGTCAGTAAGAGCGTTTTTATTGTCAAGTTCTTCGTGGATCACTAGTCGCGGCCGTAGACACAGTTCAAAGCATATTTGTAACGGTGTTACACGTAAACTAGTATGAATGGGTGGGTCATACAAGATGGTGTGGCTTCACCGTAACAATAAGCTACTCCGTGGCAGGACTGCCAGTAGGTATGCATATCAACTAGGTTTTACTATTTAATTAGGTATTTCTATATCAATCAAGAAAATCTAAAAGTTTAGATATAGGCGGCTCTGCCACAGCTTAAACAAATAGATTCAGTTTCAGTTTCAATTTGAATTTAAACGGAAGAGCGACTTTACCTTGGATTAGGATTTAAGTGCTTTTGGAGGTAGCGGATTGCGATTTGCTACACTCGTACTGTGTCTTGTATAGAACATAAGGACCTTAGCTTAGCTTCCTCCAAGAAAAGAGCTACGGCAGCCCCACTGCACTTTGTTGAACTCGCCGGCAATCTACGCCTGAGTCGTTACGACTGATCCTCGGTTAATATTTGAGCAATGGCATGCAGAACGGGCTTAATAAGCTGATGTCCTTGCTTGGCCCTAAGAGTGTGCAACACCTTTCATTGCGAGGGCTCCAACCGATTAATGCGCGCCTAGAGACGTTTCAAACAAAGAAAAAAGTCTGTTAGAGCACCTGAGAAGTGATGTCGGCATCGGCATTGTCCGTGACGCCACCGTCGTCGACGGATGACTCCTCCCGACCCAGGCCGCCCATGGTGAGCGTTAAACGATCGAGGGTGAAAGAGGTCCAGCTGACTTTGGTATCCGCGATGCTTCAGATCGAGCAACAGCGTGTGGAGCTAGCTATCTCGACGCTCGAGGGCTGAGCACGATAATGAACAGTAACATGCGGTTCTTTGGTTGTAGCGGCGTTCCCTCCTGGAAGGAGAAGAAACCGCAGCTTTTGCGAGTGTTCTCACCGCCTATTCAGGCATATTGCGTGCGATCGCGTTTCCTTGCCGTCCGACACGGCAAGAAGGTGTTGTTAGACTTTCTCCAAGAGTTGAGAACTCTCTGAGCAGGGATGACAGTCGATCCTCTCCCCGAGGAGGTCGCAGTGACTGTCTTTATGGAGGGCCTCCGCACTGGCGTGTCCATAATCGAAGTCTTTCTGTACATCCGCATGTTTTGAAGAAGCGAATGAGACAATGGATGTCGAATTCATCTTCACGTCGTGGTTGAAATGCACATCGTCGAGCGTACCAGAGCCAATGATCCCCAGCTATGCTGAGAAAGAAGAGAGAGAGTTCCGAGCCGCAATCAGCGTTTAAACACAATTCGATGTTATTTCTATGGAGACACCTGCCATCTTCGGACTGATTGCCCCCTGCGCAAGGCGCGTCAAGGTTCATTGAACCGACGATCTCCTAATTAGTCTAGTTTGTCGCGAGAAAACGACAAAACTTAGTATTCGCGGGGCGCCCTACCGGGGTAGAACTGAGTTATGTTGAGCCTCAAAGAGGTAGAGCGCAGCAGCCCAGTCCCGAAAAGCTCCGTGCTCTTGAACACGGAATGTGTATGCAAGCCGGGCTTGCTGAACGTGAAAGCAACCGTGAAGGGCTTTAAAAAGCTATGGAGATCCTTATCGATTCCGAAACGTCGGGGAGTTTTGTTCGACGATCCACGATAGAAGGAAGTCAGTTGTATGATGAGGCGATGAAAGCGCGATTTGGTGACACCGTCACTGTTTGCTTAGTGATGGATACTTGTGTCACTGTACCGAGGGTTTCTGTGGACCGTCGCTGTCAAGTTTCTTGACTTTGATAGCATATGGAACACTGCTTAGCCTTAGACTTGATTGAAAAATATGACCTTATTCATGGTTGGAACACGATGAGTCATGGATAGATTGGAGGTCTTGAGAGCTACGCGCACGTCTCCTGCTGAAGCTTTGGTGAATCATAAACCCAGCTCTGCTAAGAATCAGAGGCGCTATTAGTGCGGGCACTGGGCTGGGACGGTCAATGTGCTGGATATCGGATATTCCGAGTTGTTATACACCCTAGGTGATGTCCCGACCATGACTCGCGA